AGCGTGATGACTATATGTTCACTTCTTGTCTATCCACTAGTGCTATATGTTCACTCTCTACTAATATACAGATTATGATTCTCTTCTGATCATTATATTATTCGGCGATTACTACTTGAATAAGTATTATTAGTGTGGATATTATTGGAAGACATTACCACTAGTACCAGTGTCTACGAAGTATCGAATATAATGAGCATTTTTGGAAGTGGTAACCAGCTTTTGCTTGGCATAGCAAAAGTGACAAGCAAAGCCGACCAACATCACAAAACTTTTATAAATATTATATATTAAGGACATTATAGTCTGAAGAAAAAAAATTTTTTTCAATAAGTAATGAATTTTTACAAGAATACATTTTATTTTATTTTTTTAAATTATAAAGTTTCAAAAATCTTTCAAAAATTCTACAAAACTTTAATCTCGTTCAGTTATTGAAATTAAGTGAAGACTATACTCAGCAAAAATTGAAAAGCTTAATACAAATTATCATGCACTAAGATTTTTAAGATAATTTTCATTTTTTTTTTTTTTTTGTGTATAAACATGCCCATTTTGAAAGTATGGGTGACCATACACAGCATTATCAGAAAAGAAGATCCATGACTATAGTAAATTTAAAGTCAATATCATTTCCAACATTTTTAAGATAACTCATACTTAAAAATTATATAAAGTGTTCATCTGTCATTTTCTTAAATTAAGTTTTAACTCATAAATTCTTTATAAAACAACAATAAACCTGTCAACACCTTATTGGTGTTTGTTAAGTGATTGACGGGTGATGAAAAGCATCTAAATCACCACTACTTTGTTTTAAAAATCCATTTCTATTATTTTCAACTTAAAGTAAAAAACATTTGTTTCAAATCAGATTAATTATACTTTAAATCAGCTAATATTCCTCAAATAAAGTTTCAGAAAAGTATATTTTATTTTTGGAAGATTTTTTTTAATACAGAGAATTACATTGTGATGAAAGATGACTAAAAACAGGATGCTAATCAGCTATTTAAAAAAAAAAAAAAAAAATCAATTCCAATCAATATAACTTCTTTTTAAAATACACCAGAGTATTTTGCTTACTGGAAATAGTAAATTTAATCCTTTAGCTTTCAATTAAAAGGTAAAATAAAAAAGCTTTTTCATTTATAAAAATTCATTTTAAACCTTAGGTATCGTGATTTTAGTGGAGGTACCTAATTTAAACCCATAAAATATTTATAAAGGAGAGCCTCGGAAGAATTTTGAACTCAAATTAAATAAGATTTAGTAAGATTCAGAATGACACCCAACTCTATAACCCCAAGGAAGTTGGCATGATATGACCAATGAATTTGCCAAAAGTCCACAAGATTTTTTGTAACTTTAGTGTTTGTTTGTTTAGCATCCTATCAGGTATATATATTAATGTTGATGTCAATGAAAATTTTGGAAACCTAAAAATCCTGGCCAAAATTGAAACTACTTTATGGTATAGCTATTTGGGTTATTTAACAAGGGGTTTCTTTGTTTGAGAAGCTAATCAATCATGTCTATTCTGAAACAAAGTTTATATAAACAAAGTATGCATGTGCAGAGATTAAAGTTACCCAAAGATCGTAAGAGCATGTGCCTCAGAGTCAAACATTTGTGGAGAAAATCGGCAGTCACGCCCATGCTCATTAGATAAAATCCACCATAGAAATCATTCATTGCTAAATCATTAGCACTCAAGCATTTCTTAACAGACATCTGTCAGTGCCTCAAGAGTAGAAAAGAATTGATCAGAGTTGTTGTATGATTTTTTACATTTCATCCTTAATTAAATTATTGATAATTTTTCAACATCGTTATATCTTGTTGGCATGTTTACACTTTTTTCAGCAAGATTGCTCAATGTTGAAGAAACTGTACAATCAAAATATCACCCAAACCAACAAAATCACAACCTGTCATTTCTGGCAGGTACAAAAACAAAATCCACTAGACAATATGAATTTGGGTGAAGGAAATGAATCAGCAAAATTGACTATATCACCTTCCCTGAAGTATTTAATAGTATGCAAAAAAAGTTCCAATTTAAAAGATCAAAAACTTATTCAACATTTTCCTTTGAAAATAATGTAAATTCATTTCAATAACAACAACATTTGAGGATTACATTTAAGTTAGTCAATCACATTTTGGTAGGAACAACTGCTACTTAAAACAAATCTAAGCCAAACTTTTCAAGAAGTGCTACCTCTTAATGCTTTAGTTAAGTTTTATAAATTTATTTCAGAACGTTAATTTTTTTTTTTATGCCATACAAAAATCTACAGAAACCATTTTAATGTTTTTTATTTTATAAAATTCCCATCAGATGTTTCTTGAAAATATTTACAGTTTTTATATCCTAGAAGAATAGGCATTTTAAATAAGAATACCTTGGAGTTGGGTTTTGCACATATGTAGCTACAAACTAGTAGAACTTCCCAAACTATATTTTTATTTATAATTCAAATTGGAGATCAGATGTTTTTGTTATCCAAGATAAAATTGCATCATTTATTTAATAATCAAAAAGCAAGTGTGGAGATACAAGAACACAGTTTCAATTGTTATCAGTAAAACATAACACCTGTAATTTATAACTTCTAATATGATGCTAAGCTAGGAAGTATTTTCTAACAGATTATATTAAATTCAGTCAATTGACAGTATACATGGCCATAAATTATACTAAAAAAAAAATTTAATAATTTATGGGTGTCTTGGTTACAGCAGTTTAATTACAGAAATCCATTCTAATTAGTTTGATTCAGTTGAAGTTATCTTGTGTTTTTAAAGAGTTTTGTAAGTGTAAAACATTTGCCTTGTTCAAGAGTTGATAATAAATAAGGTACCATGACAGTTCACTAGATATTGTTTTAGCAAAATATTTCTATCTTTTATATACCTTGATGAGTAAGGTAACCTACAGTTAAATGCTGTTCATTCTGAAAAGTATTAGATGGCTCCTCTTCCACCAACAAACACAAATACATCCTAGTCTTGCTTGTAAAGAAGCAAAAAGCAATTTTATTTACTAAATATACTTGGCAATAGAAAAGTAAATGACGCTTGATGCTAGAGAACTGATGACATATCAGAACCCGAAAAATCATAGCTGCTTTATGTTTTCTACTCTAATTGCATTCCATGGGATGTTAAATCCTCATGAACAACAATGGTTGCAACAGCAGCAATATATATATATGTGTACACACACATCTTTACAGGTAAACTATGGCAGCTGATCAACTAGTTAGATAAACAGGCACTAAAGACAAGAAATTAGTAACATGTGAAGATAAAAATTAAACGATTAAAAAAAAAAAAAAAAAAAAAAAAAAAAATATTAATGGAATAAAACAAATATTTCTACATTCTGGAATGGTAACCATGAGCAAAAATATGAAGAGAAAAGATAATCAATACTCTATACTTAGAATAGAAACTAAACTAGAAATAATTATAACTCAAAGCAGAATCCTCTTGATTTACAAAATTCTAGGTCATCTTCAAAAAGGCATAATACAGTATCAATCTAAAAAAAAAAAAAAAAAAAAAAAAAAAAAAAGGGGAGAGGTTGCACATATCTGTTCTGAATCAAAAAAGAAAAAAAGTACAATAAAACTAAGACATTATTTAGAGAAGCTTTTAATTGTTTTATGAATACATATTAAAGACAATATTACCTGAAGAAGAAAATATTTTCAATAAAAAAAAAAAAAATGAATTTTTACAAGATTTATTTTCATTTTTTACAATTTTAAATTGAATAATTTACAAAGTTTTTAAATCTTTTAAAATTCTGTTTCAATGTGATAACTCTTAAGGAATATTGTTATTAAGTAAAACTATATTTACTAATCATATATTGTAAAGCTTATTACAATTTGATGAGCCCAAATATTTTTAAAAGAATTTTTATTCGTTTTTGTATGTGTATATACATACAGAATTTCTGATGTATGGATGTACAAACCAATAATTCTATCATTAAAAGGTTAGGTGTTTTAAGGGTTGCCCCTCCCACTTATAAACCTTATCATCTACTCTACTATACTTAACTATGAACATATTTGGCTGTCAATTAGCTGTCAATAAATCAATTAACATATCAGAAAAACAAGAACCTATGGTTAAGAAATGCTTGCACACAACAGTCTATGCTATAAGTAATATTTGTTTGAAATTAGATTAATTTAACTTTAAATTTGCTAATTCCCCTCAAATAACATTTCAGAAATATATTTTATTTTGCAAGATTTTTAAAACCAAGGATTAACTTTTGTTTACAAATCTGTCAAAATGGACAATTTTTATCGATTTTACTGAAAGAAAAAAAAAGAAAAAAGATCCCGATCAATATAATTTGTTTGAAATACACCACAGTATTTTGCTGACTAAAAATAGTAAATTTCAAGAAAGCTTTTTCATTTTTAAAATCACTTTAAACCTGATGTATACTGAATTAGTAGAGGTACTGCTATATTATGATAGTTTGTAAGCAAACGCTCATGGTATAATCGCAAGATTTTATCTGCAATTTCTGAGTAATAAACAATTTCACAAATATTACTTATCATAAAGTTAAAAAACTTTGAGCTATTTGATGTAAAATTTAAATATTCATGTATATGCTAAGATATACATTTGCATTAGAACATAATATAGTTTCATTATACGATAATGGCTAAAAGCATTTATCAATTAAATAAGTAATGTATATGTTTAATTAGGTTATTACAAAAAAAAAAAAAGTTTTTTTTCACATACAGGTTTATAATTGACATTACTATTTAATCATGTAAACTAAGAAGTTGTTTACTTAAAAAAATAGACAAATTTTTTAAAGTTTTGTTATTGAAGATTAGCCTTTTTGTTGTATCAATTCACAAATAAAGGATACAAAATAAATTAGTTCTAAAACTCTTTTTATTGCCATTATAATATAGAAATTAGTCAAGAACAGTTACAATATCAGTGCTTACCGTCGTTTTCGTTCTTCTACAGTGTCAAATTCCTGAAAAAATAAAAAGAAATTATGTAAATTTTATCAAATAGTAAAAAGATTTTAAGTAAAAATTGTTTGAAATTTACAATAAATGCCATTAATTTCAATTATATTTTTGTCCTGATTGCTGTGAGTTTGAAAATCTTAAAAGAAAACCCATGTGTGCTATACTCAAAACTGCAATTGTGCATTTGTTGAAACAACTGATTTTTTTTAAAGTTTAGTGTGATGAAAGCTAAATTTAAAAAATTAACATGCAAAGGGTCTATATTCATAGGTGAAATATATATCTATTATTTCTAGACTAATAAACCAAAACTGACTGTGGAAGATAATATAATACTAATATATCGTTTTAGTTTTCATATTCAAACTGGATGCAGCACCAAATCAGAGTGATTACATTACTTTCCATACACATGAACAATGAAAGAGGAGAACTAGTATATTTGCATAGAAAATTTATAAATTTATCTAAACATAATAGCTATTTTCTCTTTCTATACAAGTGAATAACATACTATCTTTAAAATAAAACTATTAAAACTACTATTGCTCCATAAACTGTACACAAAATGTAAGTGATAATCTTATTACAAGTAAATAATCTTTAGAATTTCTACCTTATTTATAATGCAAGCCATAAAATACTGAATATTCACTTGTCTATTGATGTATATGCAGCAAATACATCCATTTTTTTTCTTATTACAAATCTGAACACAGTAATAAAGAGAGGCACTTTATCCATATGTAATCTGAAGGAGAAATTCAAAGAGTGTAAAAATCACGGGACCCTATGACTTGAGACAAAAAAGAAAATCATTTTGAAAGTTAATTTCAAAGTAATATAAATAGTATAGTGTTCTGTTAGCCTATCTTATTAATTATAAGACCTATTATACAATTAACTAAGCAATATGCCTAAAACAAAAAACACTATTAAAAGAAAAAAAATGCTTAAAAAATTGTGAGAAAGATTTAAATTAAAAAAAAAAAGTTACCTTTTTGTTCATCAAAGAGCTAAGTTTAAAAAATGAGTTCCCATTATGAAAGATTTTATTTTGTTTATGTTCATCACATCACTTGATATAAAATCCAACTGTAAGATAAAATTTTCTTGATGCCAAGTGAAATAATTAGCCAGGAATTTATCTACTAGAATTTCATTATCAAAATCAACTAACATCATTTCTTTGTAAATCAAGAATATTTAAGGGAACAAAGGCGGGAGGGTAAAACAAATTAGTAACCTTAGAATTCAATTGATATGAGTCAACATGAATCAGTTATCAAACTGATGACATGAAATGATAAGGATACTTTAAGCAGTTACATTTTGTTTGAGCTTCTGACAAAGTTGATATTATCTTATCCTTGTCCCATTAAATAAATAAATACACTTTATAAATTGTTGTGCCTCTTGAGAGATGTTCAATATTAATAACCAAAACATGAAATTCTTACATTGGTCATACAACCATTGCATACTCTTGCAGCTGAACTTGCCACTTATCAAAAGTTAATGCTTATTTTGAGCATAACAAACCACCAAAATATGACTTGACATCAGACAAATATTAGATGAGAATACTAAAATATTATACAGTATACACCGAAAAAAAAAAAAAAAAAAAAAAAAAAAAAAAATCAAAATAACATACATTAAGAACTTTCATCATAATGGACTATTTTATGCTTTTTAAAATATTGATTTTTATAACCTCTAATAGAGTAATTTTTCCTAAAAATTAAAATATATACCAGTTTACATCTAGTTACAAATTGTCCTACACATATATCACTAATATATGATAAATGCAGATTTAAAATGTAGCATTCCTAAAAATGCTAGGAAGAAATAAAAACTTTTCTCTAATGTACAAATGGCCAAATCTACTGGAGCAAAAAAAAAGTTATACCCTTTGGATTGCTTCTCCATAAATTTGATCTGGATATATAACAACTTCTACACAAACTAGAAAAAAGCAATGAAAAAATGGATAGACATTGTTAATTTTTAATAAAACTTGTTTGAATGAATTCTTGCTGTCTAAGTATGTGTGATACAAATACAAGATTTTAAAAAAGTTCTCAGCCTGATCCACTTCCCAAGTTTTCACCAAATGAACATATATCAGGATTGTGTATGTTTTTAAAGGGTTTCTTTGTCAGGCCTGAGAATTTTTTTCAAAAACACATTGATTGCAGACAGAAGCCCTTATGTATATATAAAAAAAAATCACATCATTTTAATGGGTACTATATATATTTTTATGATAGTCTCTCAAATTCCAGGGAAGATGAGTATGTTATGAAATCAATATCTGTGGACACACATGTGATTTCTGAAACCAAAATTTAATGAATATATAGTTGCAGATGGGGCAAGAAATACCAACTGCTGGGTCAGAAACAGACTTCTTCCTGTGTTTTTCTTGGTGCACTATCATGCTAACTAGCAATGATGTCAAACATATTGCAGAGTATTTTCTGTAGGGTAGGTATTATTTGGCTGAAAGAGAACATCACCTTCTTGTTATAGGAAGGACAGCATAAAAGGTGAATAAAATTCCCAATGGCACTGTTCAATGTTCCCTCTACAAACACCAGTGAATATTACAGAATACCACATGATCCCTCTTCTGAAAAAAAAAAAAAAAAAAAAAAAAAAGATGGATGCCTATGATGGTGATGTGGCATCAATGGAAGTCTAGTTAGAGACATGCATACTCTTAATCCTACCACAAATAAAAAAAATTCCCAATAATCCATGTTATTAACTACTGGGATTACATTTGCTCTATACTGTGTTGTTTGTTACTGTTACTCTCACAATGTGATCATGGCTAGCATCTGTACTATACACCCAACCAAAACTTGGTCTACATGTGTAGGATAAGAATGTTCATTTAACTACTATTGCCAACATCAAAGCACTACTAATGCATCACATTCAATAGAGACAGCAATTCTCAGAAATAATCATTCAGTTCCTTAAAGTCCTCTTTGAAATAGCTCTTGTTGAACAAAAGGAGCACGTTTGCATCTCAATGGCACGACACCTGCTTGCCTTTGAGCTTTCACCACACTGAACCCTATGGTAGCATATGTCACCATCTAATGCTTATATACAGACGATATATTTATACAAGTGTTATGAGGTCACAAAATGGACAAAGATTTTTTTTTTTTATCAGAATACTGACTGTCAAAAATCTGCATCATCCTTCAGGGTATTACAATTTAATCAGTCTTTTTATATATATATATATATATATATATATATATATATATATATATATATATATATATAACTGCCACATGCTTACAGAAGGCCATCTTTTCACTGCTGAACTGAGCAGCCAAGTGCCTACAGATGACTTTTGCAAACCAGTGTTGCTCCTGCATATAGCTTTTACATATATGACACAAACTTTTTTTTTTAGTAACTGGTGATTAAATGATTTAGGAAATTTCCTTAAAAATCATTTAATCACCAGTTACTTACCATCTCCTGAAGAAATACAATCAAAGTATTGAAACATGATTTTATGTAGTGATTTCAGCATGTTTTTATTATAATATTTTATAATAAAAATAATAATATATTGCTCTACTTTGTATTGAGCACTTTTTTAAAAGTAAATGCTACAAACAGTGGAATTTTACTCCATCTGTTCTTTCTCTCATTTGGAGATTATATATATATATATATATATATATATATATTATTTATTTAAAAATATGATTCCAACTCGTGACATAAGAGGTCTCATGTTTCTAAGGAACTAATACTAAGGAACTTTGGATTATTTACCTAACCAGTTCCTTCCTATTTTCTATATATTTTCACATTATATATATATATATATATATATATATATATATATAAAGAGAAAGTAATGGTTTTTATTTTCCATAGCTCATATTTCCACTAAACAAGCAAGTTGCACTAAAATTAGATAATCTCCTTTCTTGTGTGTAGATGATTAATTCCTTTACTATTTTTATTGATGTTGTTCATCTCTTTGTTGATCACCATAGATAATACTTTCCCAAAAAGATACAATGACCAATCACTTCACTTGCTTTTCAAGCTTCTATAATAAACATCTCAATCAGGTTTTGTGTCTGCCTTAAAACTTACACTCTTCACCAATCAATCAGGGAGAGGAAGTATACAGCATAACTATGGACAGAGGCAATTGTTCATATACAAAGGCTATCCAAATTTGGAGTCAGCCACTTCAAATTGGTTGAACAACTGCAAACAAATGTTCAATGCATTCTTAATGGTAGATGAGCAAATAAACATTACTGGTCTACATTTAATTCTCTTGACTCCCAACAAATCTATAGGCTTCATATAAAAATACTCAAGTGTTATCAGTAGAGTGTTATACTTTTTCTTATCTCTTCCCATGATGCAATTGCTTGTTGTTATTCAAAGCTGACATTGTTGCTTTTTGTTCAAATAAAAAATAGCTACAGTATTTGGCCATACTCTTAAAGAATATGAAAGTGTAGCTTAAAAATAGATATAAATTTATAATTCCTTTTAATAAGTACTAACCATTTATAGAGGAATAAAAATCATCACTAAGATAACCCTGAGGTAATGAGTGCATCAAGTTATTGCTAGCAAGTAACACTCATTTATAATGAAAAAAAAAAAAAAAATGTAAAAAAATTGTGAAAACTTTAGTGTTGTTAGGTAATTCATGCAAATCTGGATCAAACAGACTAAATAAAAATGAATTAATAAATATTCAACTACAAAATAAAAGATGTTTACTTGACATGTTTCTAGCTTGTTTGCAAGTTCTTTAGTATCTATTTTTAGCAAGTATTTCATAAGTGTTAGTATAGATTATTGTAAGAGTTCTGGGATTACAAAGGAAATATTTGTCACAGATTATTTCCACAATGAAGAGAACAAATCACTGTAAGTCCAGATTTGAATATCAGGGGCAGAAAGAAATGCTGAAATCTCGATTCAAAAGGTA